TGATTCTATCATGGGATCTGGCGATCAATCCCAGGCCATCAGGTTTGCACAGCAAGTGCCTTTGCACAGTGAGCCACCTCACAGGAACATGTCATCCTTACTTTTAAAGCCACGTTACTAGTCTCTTCCACTAATTACAGATCATTTTCTCTTTCCAGTTGCGTTTCTGACACTTTATTATTTGAACATATGTTAGTTCTACCCATTTAACCTGTTCTACCCATTTATCTTCTGTTCTTCCTTTTCTTATTGATACCTTCATGATTTCAATCTTTATAAATATACTGAGCTTTTTTGGTGGGCTTCTGTAGCCTCTCTTGGAGACTGTTCCATGGGAACTTAGAAAGATGTATTAATACATTGTAATGTTTTGTGGTGCAATCCTTAACACATGACTCAGTTGTCATTGATCAGTACACTACTCAAGTCCCGCCTATACTGGTGCCACATGTCATTCCAGACTTCCTTCTACTCCCTTCAATTCAGATGTTTGCGTCAGCTGCTTGGGTCTCTACTGACAACAGCATGCAACGTGCATGTTTCAGGTACTTGCATCTTCTCCGTGGGTAAATCCTGGCGCAAGGGTACAAGAAGGCTGATGCCTCAGTTTGACAAACAGATGGGCAGGGGATATTTCCCTCCTCTGCTTTTTCCCATTCGTGTCCTCAGAGGATTGCCCAATGCTCCTCAAGTCAGGGAGTTCATTGGTACACAACACTTATTGTCTCGTGGCAGCTGTGGGTTAGTCTCTTTTCTCTGATGCCACCTCCTTCCCCTTGTCTCTGCCACTGTCCTTCAGCGTGACTGATTCTAAGTATTGGATGTTTTTTTATTACTGATTAACGTCCTTTTTGTTCAGCTTCACAAACTCCTTTCGGACTTTCTTGAAAAACAGGTCTTGTGGAGACAACCCCCTTGATTTTTACTTTGGTACAGGTGTCTTATCTGTCTTCCACTCACCAAGAACAGGTCTGTGGGGTGAGTATTTTTGATTTGCATGTTTCTCCCTTTGAAAACATTAAATATCTCTCCCTGGCCAGAAGAATGCCTCTGGGAAGTCTCCTACCACTGCCACTGGAATTTCCTTCTGTGTTGACTGACTCCTCTGTTCTCTCACTGCCTCAGGCTCCTCTCTGGCTTTGATCTTTAGAATTTTGATCAGAATATTTCATGGGGTAAGATTATCCCTGGTAGAAGAAATTTGATCTCCTGAATCTGGACACTCTGATCTTTCCTTGTATTTGCAAAGTCTCCTGCTGTTGTTTCCTCAGAAGATTTAAAACACAAACGACTTTGTCTGCTCTCCCTTGAATACCACTGACACAAACATTTGCCCTTTTCATGTTGTCTGAGGAAGCATTCCTCCACTCCTCTGCTCGTTCTTCCACGGAGACTGTATTTTCAAGCAACCTGTCTGTGAGTTAAAAGATTCTTTGGTTCAATCAGTTCTAATGATGCTCACATGCACATGCATCGTTTCACAGGGTTGGGTATGGATTTTTAATCATTACTTTAATCTCTTTGCTAAGTTTCTCCAATGAATTTCCGTATTATTTCCCTTCATTCTCTTGAAGTTCATTTTGATTCTTCTAAATTGAAAATCACTTTCAATTATTGTGGCGTTAATACGGCCTATATATCTGCATTCAGCCTCAGGCATTTTATCTTCTCCAGCAGGCAAGGCCATGTTTCCCTGATTGTTACTCATCTTTATCCTGCACCCATGCCTTGAATTGATGACGTATGCATTCCAATCTTTATATTCTGACAGTATCTGAGATTGTCTTTCAATAGGAAGTTTACCCAACAGTTCACTGCAAACTATGAGCAATGGTCCCTATGTTTGTGACTATTACAACCATTGTGGTCCTGGGGACACCCTAAGGCCATGACTGAAATGGACTGCACATTCTGTGGTGGAGAAGGGAAGTAATCCTATGATCTTGAACTTGGCTTAGCAACATATTGGAATTCTGTGGCTCTCAAGACCGACAGTGCCGCTGTCATCCAGTGTAATACAAGCTGGTACTCTGGCAGGGAGTGCATGTTAGCATCTACCATTGATGTGGAGGCTAACACTATGTGTATCAGACATGACACAGATGTATAAGGGTGTGATGTGTATGTATAAGGGTTTTTAATGTTGTGCAACCAGTACTGGAGTCTGAGATAAGAGTTATCTGAACATAGCCTCCTCATTCCCAGTTGTTGTCTCTGTATGTTGTGGTAATGAGAGCAGAAGAAGGGTATAAATGCAAAACTGTCCTTCCTACCTCCATGATGGGTTATCTCTTAGTGTAACTAGTTTCATTTTGTCTTCCCCATGCAAGTATGTTGCACTTTCTCATAGTCATCTCTCATTACCAAATCTTGTCCCGTCCTGGTTCTGTCTCTTCCCACATCTGCTTTTATGTCTTGTGTATTTTTTAAACCTAGATTCCATGTGACCTGTCTCAAAGTTCCCATTTTCCCATCTGTCTGATAAATTCTCCCGCTGATGGTCTCTGCCAAAAGAAAACACAGTCTTTGTCTTTTTGAGTCTGGCTTGAGTTCTGCAGGTCCATCCCATCCCTGGCAGCAGCAGCAGGGACAGAGACACAGCTCCACACTGTCACCTCCAACAGCTGAGGAGTCCCTTTAGTCTTTGGCAGACCTTGACTGGGGTGAAGTTGAACCCTTGGCTTGACACAGAACAGAGTTTCAGGAAGAGCCAGTATGAAGCAGAATTCGGGTTTATTAAAAGACATTTTTCAAGGGGTTGAAGAGCTGTGTCAGAGGTTAAGAGCACTGGCTGCTCTTGCAGAGGACCCAGGTTTTGTTCCCAGCACCAACATGGTAGCTCACCACCATCTGTAACTCCAGTTCCAGGGAGTTCAATGCGTCTTTTGTTCTCCTTGAACAATACATGTACATGATGGACATACATACACCCGACTCAAGCACAGAAAATAATAAAATAAAATAAAAATGTCAAGGATATTTTTAGCATAGTTTTTAAGGGTTAAGAGAAAGAACATCACTCAGAAAGAAAGACATGCCCAACAGTATGGAAGGGGCCCCTCGAGAATCTTTACAGTAGCCACATGCACAACTTTGGTAGGTTTTGAAGTCACAACTTTCAAAGCGGCTCCATGAAATCAGAGTTGTTGCTGAGTGTAACTGACAGGGTTACAACACTGCACAGAGACGGTGCATGTTAAGATAGCTTCATTGTGAGCAAACTTAGCAGTCTTGTGAGGATCTCAGAAAAGATTAAGGAGTGAAACCACATAGGGTACATGCGATTGGGCCTTATGAATGGTTCCTTGCTATTTTAACATAAAATACATTGCCTCTAGGTTGTCAGGAGTCTCATATCGATGATGAGGGACTGGCTCCCAAATCCCTAATCTTAAAGCACTGCTTTGTGTTTGGGGTTGTTGTAGAAACCATCAAACTAATTCATTGAGTTATTAACCTCTGTCATACACAGATTTTTCACATATTCAATAGTTCATAGGGAAATAATCATGATTTCCCAACTTCCCAAGAAATATCCCATGGCTTAATGTTTCAACCAACTACATGTTTCTGGTTGAGGGGTGGGGACTGTATTTGTTCATGACCTGTGACTATTTTTAAGTATGACAAATTCACTAGATAAGTTTTTATTTAGGATTTCTTACATCAATTTAAAGCAGGTTTACAATGTAGCTTCCTTCCATGGGTAACATCTTTTTCCATATTTGAGCATCCTAAAGTTGTAGGGAATAATAGACTTTTTAAAACTAAGTCTTCTGGGCCAGAGTAGCATTTTAAGATATTGGCAGGTTAAACCAACTAAAAAGAAAATTTCTTTAAAGTGAAATCTACAGGTCACCAATGTCACAGCAACCCAAAGAGGAAAGACAGCAGCACAAATTACAGCTAAAAGATGTATAGTCAGGAGATGGCTCAGTGGTTAAGAGGTCATACTGCTCTTGCAGAGGACCTGGACTTGATTCCAAGCATACAGAAAGGATAGTTTCCAACCACCTACACTGCTAACTCCTGGAGGATGTAGAGACCTCTGCCTGCCTCCCTGGGCACCTGCACTTGCGTGCCCATACACACACACCTAGCCACTCAATTAGAAAGAAAAAATAAATATTTTTGAAAAGATAGTTTTGCTTCCACATTAGGCTCTAAGTCTTTTGGATGTAGCTACAAAGCTGTTTTGTTATTTGTTTGTCACAGTCCAGAATGACCTCAATTAGAATTAGATTTCTGTTTTTTTAACTTCATCAACAACTGAAGCTTTTACACATTCATGAAGACATTTTAAAAAAAGAAAATTAAGAAATAAAATGTTAGTTAATCTTGTGTTCCACGTAAATAGACATTTTTGATAACTCTAATATTGTATCACTAGGCTGTTCTCCTCCCTAGATTTTGTGATGTCATGGGTAGTGTTTAAATGTTGATGTGTGGAAAGTAAACTTTCAAATGCACCCTCAATGAAGGCTTCTGGGAGAGATGGGGTTCTGATTTCTCTACATTTCCAGTAAGAAGAAAGGGTTGGCCAGTCTTATGTAATAAGTATACATTTATGTTTTTTTTAATGTATGAGCACTCTGTCAGCATGTACATTGGCAAGCCAAATGGCATCAGATCCCATTATAAATGGTTGTGAGCTACCATGTGGTTGCTGAGAATTGAACTTAGGACCTCTGGAGGAGCACCCAGTGCTCTAAACCATGGAACCATTGTTCCAAGGGTTGGTCGGTCTTGATGCCTAGTCTAGAAAAAATATTTTACTCTCACTGACTCCTAGTGTCCCGCATGAAGCAGACCCCATGAAAAGGTCAGCCTCGTGATACCCTATGAAAAGGACAGCCCACCCAGGCCCTAGAACATTATATCAGGGTGTTAACTCTGCTGTCCTACTCTGTGAACCACAGGTCCTTCTGATGGCAGTCCCCCCACGAAGCTGGCATAAACATCCTTGGCCTTCATGTTCACCTGCACGGCTTTCTTGGGAGATGAAGCCACTTAGCCTCTCTCTACTCACAGTGACCATCCTTCTTTGCTGTGACATGACTCAGCCTACATTCAGAAAGGGGATGTGTAAGACACAGTGCTCCTGGGTCTGCTTGGACAGGAAAGCTTTCCTTGGGGTTGTCTGTGGGACCACTTGGCACTGATGCCTGAAGCATGGTTCTCAGTTCATAGGTGCTCAAGACTCACTTTGTGGTATTTTTCTGCAGCTGTAGACAAACCAGGGTATTGCCCAGAGTTTCATCTTTCCTGCCCTTTTACCCTCCTTCCCATATGCTGGAGGGATAGAAGCTGCAGAGGAGCTAAAAAGTGTTGCTTCTTCTACTGTCAGATGCGCTGTGTGGAACCATGGCACACTTTGGATTAGGTGAGCAGCCGCAGACATGCTATTCTTTGTTGTTTTTTTAGACATGCTATTCTTGATGCTCCTCCTGGAACCCTTGTGTCGAGTCCCTTGCCTTGAAGGGAGCTGCAAACTATCTGTACCTCTAGACAGTGTGTCACTCAGGGCATCTGAATGAATTAGGATTGTCCAGAGATTGCCCCCATCCTCAGAAAATGTGTCATCATTACATGGGTAGGCGTCACTCTTTCCTGCATACTAAGGACAAATGAATAAGATTATCCCAAAGCTCCTCAACCACCGCTGAATGTTTCTTTATGCTCATTTTCAGTTGCCCCTTTTCATATCTTCTAGCATTTCCCACTACATCTTAAATTATGAAGGGATTATGAAATTTGAATTTCCTACCTGACTGGCATAGAACCACTCAGCCCCTAGTTCCCTGACAGTATATCTCAGTGTTCTTGGAAAGAAAGCACACAGTAAGATTCAGGGCACGGTGACCAGGTGACCCAGAATCATGTGCCTAGCACAGTTTGCATCTGATCTTATTTCTGTTCTTTCTAGACAAAAATGAGAAGACACCAGGCTGTGGTGGCGCACGCCTTTAATCCCAGCACTCGGGAGGCAGAGGCAGGCAGATCTCTGTGAGTTCTTGACCAACATAGTCTACAAAACTAGTTCCAGGACAGCCAGGGCTACATAGAGAAATCATGTCTCAAAAAAAAAAACCAAAGACAACAAAATGAGAAGACACATGTGGTACAGTCTCAGTGTAGGATAGCTGGCCTCCAGTTCCTTCTTGGTCCTCACAGGCCCTTCCAAGAGTTAAACACTTGTTAATATGAATACAAAACAGAAGAATAAAGAGTTGTGTATTTGTCTATTTTCCATTGCAATTAAGAATAAATCTACCTTAGGCTGGGATTTTAGAAACCAGAAAGACCTCCATGAGAGGTCTTTCACGAGACCTTTCATGAGAGGAATAAGTGAATTGTTAGATACTTTCCATTGATATTCCATCCAATGGACTTTGTTCTCAGAAGAATTATATAAAACAGACTGTACTGGAGGTCACAAAGCAAATCATTTTTATTAGTTTTTATTTAAATTAAAAACAATATTTCACACACCAATCCCAGCTCCCTCTCTCTCCTGTCCTCCCTCTCCCCCCACCAACCCTCCATCCCGCCCCCTATCCACTCCCCAGGGAGAGTGAGGCCTCCCACGGGGGAATCATCAAAGTCTGTCACCTCATTTGGGGCAGGACCTAGGCTGTATCTAGGCTGAGAGAGTAACCCCCTATAGGGAATGGGCTCCCAAAGCCCATTTTTGCACTATTGATAAATACTGGTTCCACTGCCAGAGGCCCCATAGACTGCCCAGATCCCTCCCAACTGACACCCACATTGAGGGGGCCTGGTTTGGTCTTGTGCTTGTTCTTCAGCTGTCAGACTGGGTTCTTTGAGCTCCCACTTGCTCAGGTCAGCTGTTTCTGTGGGTTTCCCCAACATGGTCTTGACCCCCTTTGCTCATCACTCCTCCCTCTCTAAAACTGGATTCCAGGAGTTCGGCTTACTGCCTAGCTGTGAATCTCAGCTTCTGCTTCCATCAGCTACTGGATGAAGTCTCTAGGATGGCATTTAAGGTAGTCATCACTCTCCTTATAGGGGAAGGGCATTTAAGGTAGCCTCTCCACTATTGCTTGGATTCTTAGTTGGGGTCATCCTTGTGGATCCCTGAACATTTGCCTAGTGTCAGATTTCTCTATAACCTATAATTGCTCTCTCTATTTAACTCTCTTTTCTTGCTCTCCTCTATTCTTCCCCCAACTCGACCTTCCTGATCCCTCAGGTTGTATTCCCCCCCCTTCTCCCTTTCTCTTTCTCCTCCCTCCTCCCACCCCATGCTCCCAATTTGCTCAGGAGATCTTGTCACAAAGCAAATCTTAACAAACAAAAAAGTAACCAAAATAACTTCTTATCTATTATCAGATAATAGTACAGAGAAACTAGAAGCCAAGAGCAAGAGAAACCATACTTGGGGGCTGCATGATACATTTTTGAATGAAGAAATAAGGGAGAAAAGAATTCATAGAACAAAATGAAAATGGGAAAACAACTTTGCCTTTACAAAACAGCTAAGGAAATTCCAAAGGAAAATTGGCTACTGTCAGAGTTTATACAGTGAATCAATGTGAAGATTGGATAAGAAACTTAAAACATCCAAAAGTCATATTAAAATGAAAGCACCAATTAGGAAACTCTTAGGAATACAGCTAAGGCAGTTCTAACAACACTTACACTTATCAATGTTTGCCTTTTAAAAAATTATCAGATAAATCTCAAATAAATAACTTGGTCATGAATTACAATGTCTTAGACAAACAATGACAAGTCAAACTCAAAGCAGCAGGTGGTAGGAAATAATGAAGATCAGGGCTGAAATATATTAAATAGAGACAAAAAGGAAAAGTAACTACCGAGCCATAGAATCAGGACATTGTATGGCACAAACATGTATCCATACCAATGGAAGAAAACAGAAGAACTAGAAATAAACCCGTGAAGATATAGCCATCTGAATTTTCCAATGCTGCACCCTCACCAGTAGCATCCTGGTCTCTCTTCAGGGACTCTGCCCCTGCCTCATGGTGCCTTTGCTTCTCTAAATTTATTGCAATTTTAATCCTGGGGTTCTCACTGCAACTGAGGCTGTACCTTCAACAATAGCCTCTCCCAGCCTCTCTTCAGGGAGACTCTGACACTGCTGCTCAATGTCAAGCCTTAGCTGCTCTCCATGACCCCACCCAGTGCCTTCAAGATCAGCACCATGGGAAAAGAAACTCTTGCATGTTAACAGGTGTGGGTGCCAACAGCAGAACCACAGCTTCTGTGTATGGGACCTGAAGAAATTCTCTCCAGAAGGTATCGCCTCAATGATGCTGGTCTCTTGCTAATCACCACTGATTCTTCAGTCCTGGCTAAGTCACATTGACTGTTCCTGTAAAGCACAGCTTTTTCTTCCACAGATTATTGATTCTAATGGATATCAGAAACAGCTGTAGTTGGTTTTTATTTATTTATTTATTTACTCTTTTGGGGGCCCACCACCTAGCTCCCAAATAAATACACAGAAACTTCTTACTTATGAGTGCCCAACCTTAGCTTGGCTTATTTCTAGCCAGCTTTTCTTAAATTATCCTATCTACCTTTTGCCTCTGGGCTTTTACCTTTCTCTATTCTATGTACCTTTATTTCCTTCTTACTCCATGGCTGCCTAGGTGGTTGGGTGGCAGACCCCTGATGCCTTCCCCTCCTTCTCCTTTTCCCTCTCTTCCCTCTTCTTTATTTTCTCCTTCTATTTATTCTTCCTGCCTGACAGCCCTGACTATCCCTCCCTCCTGCCTAGCTATTGGCCATTCAGCTCTTTATTAGACCAATCCAGTGTTTTAGACAAGCAAGTAACACAGCTTCACGGAGTTAAACAAATGCAACATAAAAGAATGCAACACATCTTTGCATCATTAAACAAATGTTCCAAAGCATAAAGGAATGTAACACTTCTTAAACTATATTCCCCAACAAACAATGCCTCCATTGCCTGCATCTTTCTCCCATATAAGTACTCATCAGGCCCAACCCTGCTTGGCTTCTGAGATCAGACAAAGTTGGGTGTATTCAGGGTGCTATGGCTGTTGTCCCTTGTACCTTTCTCAGCATTCTTATCTTCCTAGCTTCCATAACAGTTCATTGGGCTTTGAGCAATGAATGGCTTTTCCAGCCCAAAGCTTCAAAATTCTAAGCTTTATTGAAAAAAAGAAAGAAAAGAAATAAGGAAGGAAGAAGAGAAAGAAAGAGAGAGAGAGAGAGAGAGAGAGAGAGAGAGAAAGAAAGAGAGAAAGAGAGAAAGAGAGAAAGAAAGAAGAAAGAAAGGGAAAGGGGAAGGGAGGGGAAGGAAGGGAAGGGAAGGGAAGAGAGGGTTTAGTACATCACAGCAATATTCCACTCTCTGCTCCCAATCTCTGCTCTAGTTTTCTGTTGCTGTGATAAAACACAGACCAAACCCAATCTGGGGGAAAGGGTATCTTAACTACTTCTCTGTGGTGGTGAAGAGACATCATGTCCAAGGTAACTTACAGAAGCAAGAGCTTGTGGGGGTGCACAGTTTCAGAGATTGAGTCACGGCCAACATGGCAGGGAGCATGGCAGCAGGAAGACATGGTGCTGGAGCTGGAGTTGAGAGCTCACATCTTGAGACACAAGCACTAGGCAGAGGGGGCACGGGGAGAGACAGATTGGGAATGGTGTGGGCTTTTAAAACCTCAAAGCCCACCCCCAGTGACAAGGCCATACTTCCCAATCCTTCCCAAATAGTTCCACCAAATGGCAACCAAGTATTCCAACATATGAGCCTATGGGGTCCATTCTCATTCAAACCACCATAAAATCACTTATTTGGTTTGCACAGTCTATCATTAAAAGAATTCAGGACAAGAACTGTGGAAGAACACTGCTTCCTGGCTTGCTTCCTCTGGCTTGCTCAACCTGCCTTCTAACAAAACTTAGGTCCATCTAGTTACCCATGGGGCAGCACAGCCCACAATGAGCTGGACCCTCCTTTATCAATCATTAATCAACACAGACATGTCCACAGGCCAATCTGATGGAGGTATTTTTTTCAATTCAGACCCCCTCTTCCTAGATGACTCCAGTTTGCATCAAGATGGCATAATATAATGGCTACAAACAGTCATAGGTGGAAGGAAAAACTCACAAAGGGGAAATATCATTATGTGGCCCCAGAACAGCCCTGGAAAAGGTGACATAACCAAGTGTTGCTGAAGTTAAGGAGCAGCCGGTCTCCTCTCACACACCGCTGCTGCTTGTCATATGTGTACTCAAGAGCTGTTTGCCATATTTATGATGGCAGAGCACATCTACTCTGTGTGCCCTCCGTGCCATTAACCCAGCAATTCCAATTCGAACTATGTCCCACCTACATACTTCAAAATGTATATACAA